TGGGATATTATTTGTCTTCAAAGAAAGGAAATTCTGATGCTACATATGTTTGATCATGGGTGAACCTTGAGGACATTATGCTAAGTGAAATAAACTAGCCACAAAAAGACCAATACTATATGATTCCACTTACATGAGGTTCTTAGAGGAGTCAAAATCGTAGAGACAGAAAGTAGAATGGTGGTTGCCAGGGTTTGGGGAAAGGGAGGAATGGGGCGTGATCATTTAACGGGTATAGAGTTTCAGTTTTGAAGGTGAAAAGAGTTCTGCAGATGGATGATGGTGATGGTTGCACAACAATATGAATGTACTTAATACCACTGAACTATAAACTTAAAAATGATTAACATGGTAAATTTTACATTATGTATATTTCAACACAATAAAATATTTGGAAAAATATGACCTCAAATTACAAAAATGCATCAAACACAAATTAAAGGATATTTACAAAATAACTAGCCTGTTATCCCATAAATGCCATACTCATGAAAGACAGACAGACTGTGGAGCTAATCCAGATTAAAGGAGACTAAAGTGTTATGAAAATTAACTGCAATGTATGGCCTTGGACTGACCAAAGGACTTGTTTTTGTTCTTCCTATAAGGAACATTACTGGGGCAATTGGCAAAACATGACTAAGGTCTGTAGATTAGATAACAGTATTATATTAATGTTAATTTTCTGATTTAGCTCATTGAACTATGGTAATATTTTTATTCTTAGGAAAAAATATTTAGTTTTATAAAACATTAGCACAGTGATGTGCTGCATAACGACGTTTTGGTCAATGATGAACTGTATAGATGATGACGGTCCCATAAGATTTGTACCATACAGCCTAGGTGTTTAGTAGGCTATACCATCTAGGTTTGTGCAATACACTCTACGATGTTTGCGTAACAACAAAATCTCCTAAATGATGCATTTCTCAGAAGGTTATCTCCAACATTAAATGATGAATGACTGTATTTAGGGGTAAAAGGGACACGAGTGAAACTTCCTTTAAAAGGCTCACAAAAAATAATAACATCATACTCAATTATGTACAAAGAGAAATGATTGAGCAGATGTGGTAAGTAAAAATATTAACAATTCGGCAATGTGGGTAAGGGTATATGAAATTTGTTTGTACTATTCTTGCAACTTTCTGTAAGTCTGAAATGATGTGAAAATAATACAAACAAAAATAAAATAAAGAAATAGAGGTCTAAAGCATCTGGTTTGAAAGCAGAGTAGTTACTCTGGGGTGGAAATAAGCCTGTATATTTAATAGGTCAGTCTCATAGAGATTATATGATTACGTCTCCAGTAGGAAGAACTAGCATCTGTTATTCATCTATTTGTTCAGTTTCTATGAGTAGAAACTGAGGCTCTGAGAAACTCAGTAATTTCCCCACCAACACATAGTCAGAGGTGGTGAGGCCAGGAAGAGGTAGAGTCACATCTCACTGTAAAGTCCATGCTCCTTCTGCAACTTCAAGCAGTCATTCAACATATCTTTCTTTGTACCACTCTGTATAATAAGCATAATAATTCCTACTGTAGAAGGCTTTCATAAAATTTAAATGACATGATTAATATAAAAGAACTCTAAAAAGTATAAAAGTTCTATAAATAATGAAAGACAATATTTTTTTTTTTTTAAATTATCTACCTAGGGGCCGGTCTGTGGCAGAGTGGTTAAAGTCCTACAAGCTCAGTGCTGGCGGCCCGGGTTTGCAGGTTCAGATCCTGGGTGCGGACCTACCCCACTCATTGGCCATGCTGCGGAGGCAGCCCACATACAAAATAGAAGATGGGCAATGATATTAGCTCAGGGCTAATCTTCCTCAAGCAAAAAAAAAAAAAAAAAAAAGAGGAAGATTGGCAATGGATGTTAGCTCAGGGCAAATCTTTCTCACCAAAAAAATAAAAATTAAAAATTAAAAATAAATTATCTACCTAGCTATCTGCATGTCTAATTTGCCTGATCCTCAAACCCACTATGAGGTAGTCAGGAAGACATTATTCCATATTTTAATAGATGAAGAGAGTATAAAACTCAGAGAGGTTAACTAACTTGTTTGAGTCACAAAGGCAGGACTAGACTCTGAATCTTGTGTCGTCTGCTTCTATTCCTATTACATCCTGATGTATCTAAAATGTAAAGTAGTAGATCCTTAGAAGAAATATTATATCCACTTAAAAAGTTAAAATTGGGTTTTTTCTTTTTTTGAGGAAGATTAGCCCTGAGCTAACCACTGCCAATCCTCCTCTTTTTGCTGAGGAAGACTGGCCCTGAGCTAACATCCACGCCCGTCTTCCTCTACTTTATATGTGGGACGCCTACCACAGCATGGCTTTTGCCAAGCAGTGCCATGTCCGCACCCAGGATCCGAACCGGTGAACCCCGGGCTGCCGAGAAATGGAACGTGCGAACTTAACTGCTATGCCACCAGGCTGGCCCCAAAATTGGGTTATATTTTAAGGATGGATTTCAAAATTTATTTGGGGGCACCAGCCCAGTGGCATAGCAGTTAAGTCTGTGCACTCTATTTTGGGAGCCCAGGGTTTGCAGGTTCGGATCCTGGGTGTGGGCCTGCGCACCACTTATCAAGAAGCCACGCTGTGGCAGGCATCCCACATAAAAAATGGAGGAAGACAGGTACAGATGTTACCTCAGGGCCAATCTTCCTCAGCAAAACAGGAGGATTGGCAGCAGATGTTAGCTCAGGGCTAATCTTCCTCAAAATAAATAAATAAACAAAATTTATTTGGGGACAAACATTTTAATCAGTTATACTAATTTTACAATGTATATATTATACTCAATTAATCAGGAACACACTTACTTATCCTGGAAAATGAGGGACATCCATAGGTTTCCCAGATAATACAAGATAAATTATTAAACTACCCTACAAAAAATTTTTTAGTGTATTTAAAACCCAAAATGAGGTTACCTGGAATAAATAAGCCTTTCTCTTGTGCACATATTCTCATTTGTTTTTTCAACTTGTTCCTTGGTTTACCGTCTCAAAGAAACATGAAATAACACTAAATAATATGAATAGTCAAGATCATATGCCAGCTGCACAAGCGCTACTATTCTTTCAATCATTGTAAAACATCTCAAGTTAGTACTACTATTATCTTCAGTGTTACACATGAGTAAACAGAAGCTCAGTGTGGTTAAGTTACACAGCTCAGTTACACAGCCAGTAAGTGGTAGGACCAGAATTCCAAACCAGATCAATCTGACTCTGCAACCTTTATTTATAACTACAAGGCTATGCCACATCTCAACAATTTCCAAGTGTAGTGTGATGCTAAGTTAGGGACACCTGGAAATAAATCTGAGAACTCTAAACAAGAAAGGATAGGTTCCCTACTGAATGTAAGAATAGAAACTACTACAAAATTTCAAAGGATTCTAGAAAACTATTTTAACACCAAAAGATGAATTGAAGTGACAAGAGCAAAATAAACTTTCAAATCTCCTACTTTAAAAAATATTGTACTACTAAATTCTAGATACTTGGAAAGATGTTATATTATTACAATAACCCTTAGGCTGATTACTTAGCATTTATATTTTATTTATAAATTCAATGTCTTCTCTGCAATACAGAGAAAACATCCATCTAGATTTATTCAATTCTTGGTGGATTTACAATGATTTAACTTTTAATGATTTTCATAAAGGGTCAAAAATTATATAGAAGTGGGGCTGGTCCCGTGGCCGAGTGGTTAAGTTCGCGCACTCCGCTGCAGGCGGTCCAGTGTTTCGTCGGTTCGAATCCTGGGTGCGGACATGGCATTGCTCATTGAACCACACTGAGGCAGCATCCCACATGCCACAACTAGTAGGACCCACAACTAAGAATATACAACTATGTACCGGGGGGCTTTGGGGAGAAAAAGGAAAACAATAAAATCTTTAAAAAAAAAAATTATATAGAAGTAGTAACATAATAACACAGATTGAACTCTCAGTGTAATACCTGTAATTCCCCCAGAATCCTATTTTGTATGATGTTCCTATTGATTTTCATTTTTTGGGAGAGAAGACGGGCACTGGGACGTGAGTCATCATAGTTGATATCCCATTTTTTTCCCCAATGGGACTTATTTTGAAACTGCATTTACACAGCAAACGTACTATTTTTACCTAGATTTTTGCTACAGATCAATAATAGTAAAAATACCTTAAAGTGCATTTTCTACACTTTAAACGAGAATGAGATCTTTCACACCACAGATCATCATTATTATACTTAATAACACTACCATTATTTTGACTTTGGATAACTCTGTTAGTAGAGCAGTTAATGTCTTAATAAGCCATCCCTGGGAACTGCTAAAGCTCTGAAAGCTAAAAATGTTCAGATTTGCTGACATTTGGCTACTATCTCATTTTACTTTTTGACTGTTACACATCAACTTTTCAAAAACAAACTTTTTATTTTAGAATAGTTTTAGATTTATAGAAAAGTTGCAAAGATAGCACAAAGAATTCCCATATACTTTATATACATCAGCTATTATTTTTAACTAATAAAGTATGTTATCTAACCAAATGACAGAAAGATGACTATTTCCAAAGAAGACAGATATATATTGGGAAACAAAATGCTACATAAAATGACACATCAGTACAGGATCAGGAGGACAATGATTTTTATTATCTTTAGAAAATAAAATTTCCTAAAGCAAAATTATTTAAAAACTATCCCAACAGATTTATAAGTACAAAAGGCATGATAACAAATCTAAGGGGGTTCAATATTATGAAGTTCAGAATGTGTCCTATTTCATACACAGTCGAATAAAATGGCAAATATTGAATCCCTTTTATATTAAATCCCCAATATTTAATTCTCTAAAAATACAAATTGAAACCCAAAGTGAATAACCAAATTGAACAAAGAAATAGTTAAAACAGTTTGAAAAGAACACAAATGAAACATTAAAAGCAAATGAAATTTTCATAAAGAAAAAAGAAACTAATAAAAACCTGTGGTGTGGTGGGTAGGATGACAGTACTCTCAGCAGGGACTGGCAGGACAGGGATCACAGGGGCAGTGGGAGAAGAGGGAGGTACAGCTTCTGTTGGCTAAAAATCATCAACGACAAAAAATCAGAAAAGACACCAAAATAAAAGGGAAACACATAACAAAGTTTTGTCATAAAGATAAATTATAGTTTTCCAAAATAATTGAGAAACAGGTAAAATACTAATATATTACTTCAATTTAAATGAGAAAATGCTCTCCAGAAATTACTCTAGGAATAATTATACTACCAATAATAATTTTAATGACTCTGTAGTTAAAAGGAGTGACTATTTAGATGTTTAAATGAAAATAATAAAAGATAATGACTTCTAATATTCTTCCTCTAGGAGACAGGACACTTTCTTCATAGACTACCAAGTATTTTTCTAGCATTCAGAATATATTTGACTACTTTCCTCCTTGTATTCAAAGGATCAAAAATAAATTTATTAGCCCACCGGGTAGGTAATTGGGGCCTACAAATCCACAGACAAAAGATTCAAAGGACTTCAAAATTGAATCTATAACATTTTAAATAATCTGTGCTATCAACCTCTACTATCATGAACTGTAATAACCTGCCTTAAATCTTCCAGGAAAGCCATTAATTCAACCAACATACATTGAGTATCTATTACGTGTCAGATATATTCTGGAGAAAATGAAAAAAGAAGTGGGAACTAGAACAGAGAAAAGGTGTTTGTAACAAGTCCCAATCCCTACAAGCTGTATTAATTCATAAATATTTGCTATACCAATGACATATCTTACATGTAAGAAAAACATTAAAATTAAATCCATAAGAGGCCAATGTGCGTTAAAAGAGACAAATCAAAACAGGAAGAAAAAAATTGCTAAACTTGAAACCATGCTTTTCCTCACTGATAAAGAAATACAAAATAAAATTACAATGTTGACCCTTTTTGTCTATCAAATCAATCAATCAAGATTTACCAAAAATGTATGGAATCTCTTCAACAATGGTGCTAGGACAAGTGGATATTCAGACATAAAAAAATGAAGTTAAATGACTACCTCATATCATACACAAAAACTAACTGGAAATTAATCAATGACCTAAATATAAATGCTAAACCATGAAACTTTTAGAAGAAAACACAGAGACAAATCTACACGACCTTGGATTTGACAATGGATTCTTCAATAAAAAAATCAAAAGCCTAAATGAAAAAATCAATTGGACTTCATCAGAATTAAAACCTCTTGTGCACCAAAGGGCATTATCAAGAAAGTGAAAAGATAACCTATAAAATGGAAAAAAATCTTTGCAAATCATACATCTGATGAGGGTTTAATGTCTAGAATATATAGAGAACTCCTACAACTTAGCAACAAAAAGCCAATTAAAAAAAGGGCAAAGGACTTGAATACACACTTCTCCAAAAAAGATATACAAATGGCCATAAGTACATGAGAAGAAACTCAGTATCCTTATTCATTAGGGAAATGCAAATCAAAGTTACCATTATATATCACTTCACACCTACTAGGAAGCTGCAATAAAAAAGGGAAAACAAAAACAGCAAGTAACAAGTGTTGGTGTAGATGCACAGAAACTGGAATCCTCAAAAACTGCTGGTGGGAATGGAAAATGGTGTAGCCACCATGGAAAACAGTTTGGTGGTTCCCCCAAAAACTAACCATAGGATTATCATATGACCCCACACTTCTAGTCCTAACCATATACTCAAAAGAACCGAAAACAGGAACTTGGATACTTTACGCCAATATTCAATGATGCATTATTCATGACAGCCAAAAGGTGGAAACAACCCAAGTGTCCATCAATAGATGAATGGATAAACAAAATGCAGTGTATATATACACAATGGATATTATTTAGCCATAAAAAGGAATAGAATTCTGATATATGCCACAATATGGATAAATCCTGAAAACATTATGCTAAGTGAAATTAACCATACACAACAGGACAACATTGTATGATTCCACTTACATGAAATATTTAGAACAGTTAAATTCACAGAGATAGAAAACAGATTAGAAGTTACTAGGGGTTGGGGAGAAAGGAGCGTGGAAGTTATGGTTACAGAGTTGCTTAATTGTTGCAGAATTTGTCTGAGATGATGAAAAGGTTTTGGAAATAGTGGTGATGGTTGCACAATATTGGGAATGTAATTAATGCCACAGAACTGTACAGCTGAACTGGTTAAAATGGTAAACTTTATGTTATATATCTTTTACCACAATAAAAAAAACTCAAAAAAAAATTTTAATGCCTGGAAAAAGGTCCTCTCACATTGCTGCTGGACATATAAATTCATATGAACTTTACAAAAAAGCTACTTAGCAGTAATCATCTATAGCCTTAAAAACGTCCAAACTCTTTGATTTAGTAATCCTGGAAATCTACCCTAAGGGAATAATTTTTAAAGCAAATGTTTAAATACTCTTAATATATGCTCTTGAGTATTGTTTTTATTTTGGAAAATGTGGAACCACCTAAATATGCAAAGGTGTTGGAATCACTAAGTAAATAACAATAATTATATAAGATTAAATATTATGCAACAATTAAAGATCATCTGTAAGAATAGTACATGACATGACATTTAGTAAAAAAGAGAAGATAAAACTTGTGTAAAAAAAATGGAAAGAAATGTTCGAAAAGTTAACCTTCAGGGGCAGGATTATGAGCAGCTTTTCCCCCAGCCTCTTTTTTTTGAATTCTAATTTTCCAACTGTTAACAATGAATACAGAGTGATTTATAATGCAGGGTGAGGAATGCGAGATCTGTTCATATTAAAACAAAAACAATTATTATGATCTTTTACCATCTCATTGTCTGGAAAATAAACTGAAAATACATTTCGCAATAATCTTTCTAAGCTAACTAAGCCATTGGATCTCTCCCTCCTGCCCTTTCTTTTCCAGTCTAAACCACTTCCCAGTTTGGGACCAGGAAAAACATCTGAAGTTGGACAGTGGCAATGGCTGCACAACATTGTGAATGTACTTAATGGCACTGAATTAAGTGTATACTTAAAAATGGTAAATTTTATATTATGTATATTTTACAATTAAAAAAAAGGACATTATGAATAAAGCCTCTGTGGGCCTGGCTTGGGATTTCCAGTCACCATTTACATAGTTCCTATAGAAAAAAAAGTTGAATTCCATATTATGAGCCTAAAATGAATAACTTAAATGCTAACCAATTTTCAGTGGAATACTCACATGACTTTTTAAAAATGTTTGAAAACCCAGAGGCTCTGACTCCTGATTTATGACAAACCGTGAGAAAAAGACAGTGTTATAAGAAATGCTGCTGCATCAGCTGGGTACACACGTGGAAAATGAAGTGAATCCTCATCCCTACCTAACACCATACTTAAGACGGTTTGCTGACATAATTGAGAGAAATACAAAAATTAGGTTTCTGAAAGATAATGATAGAATATCATCATGACCTTCTTTAAGAGGTTAAAGACTTCTTTAATAGGTTGCTGATGCCAAGCCAGGTGTGGAGAGCACCTGTATGCAGGAGTGGAGGGGTGGCAGCAGAGCCCAAGCAGAAAAGAAGGGTGTCCAGATGGGCAGAGTGTGGCAGCAGCCTGCTATGTTTTGTTGGAAGCCAAGCGTGACGCAGAGAATATCTATGTAGTGGTAGCAGCAGTCTGGTGTGAAGTGCAGGGGCCTCAGCGGAGTAAGAGGGGGATCTGTTGGAGCTTGAGCGGCGTGAGGAGGGCATCCATCGACAGCAGCAATAAAGCCAGGAGATTGGTTACATGTAGGGGACTTTGATCCAATAAATAAATATATAAAGGATAACGGGAGCAAGGTTCTTCATGTCAGAGAAGGGAGTTACAAATATGGAAAGAGAGAAAATTTGCATGAAACCTATGGTTTTAGACTAGAACTGAAGGTATTGGTATGAGTGCATGGTTTTCAATATATAGATAGATACAGAAATATAGACATAAATATATTTATATGTTTATATGTACATGTATTCCCTAGCTCTGTCCACAGAGAAGACCTGACAGGAGTAACAACTCAATAGTATGAACATACCTAGCACTCAGATCATGGTTTCTAAATATCTATTTTGTAATTAAAAGAAAACAGGAGAAATGGTTGATTTCAGTGCTAGAGCTAAGCAAGCACAATACGAGCTTAGAACATCCTACTGTGCCAGAAAATAAGGAAGTGCTCAAGGGATAATGAGGGCATGACAAAGGACAGTGGAGTCGGCTTGAAGGGCTCTCATCTGTCAGACTGGGTGGGAACAAGCTGAGCCTCAAAATAAATAATAACAACGGCATAAAACCCACTGAATAAAACACGATTCCAAGAGTCCATACTGATAGAAATAATTAGAAGAATAAAAGAATAGAGAGAAGGGAAAGCATTTCCTTACAGAAGTATGCCAACTAAAAAATTTTCAAGGAATGATGGAATTACAAAATCATTTGGCAATCATCATAGTAATAATTCATTCAAGAAACATCAATGGATGTTAAAATGTCCATTTTAACAGCAACTGCTGTTTAACATAAACTGCTGCTAAATGAACTTTCCATCTCATTCAAGTGGATGAAAAGTGTGAATGGGACAGAGACACACATGTTATCTCCCCTAAAAACATTTACTAATTACAGTGAAGAAATCCAGCAGATACTATCCTGATTAACGTTAACATTGCCAGGAATGGGACAAGTCAAAATCATATGCTACCTGATAGGATGTAATAAGAATTCAACACTTCTGCAATATTCCTATCAAAGATGCACAACTTGAACGTAATCAGTAAACATCAGACAAACCCAAATTGAGTCATACTCTACAAAATAACTGGCTGTCGTCATAGTCATTGAAAGTATCAAAGACAAGAAAGTCTAAAAAGTTCATTACTATTTTTTATAATTTGTTTTATTATTTTTTTAAACAGCTTTATTGAGGTATAACTGATATACAAAAAACTGCACAGATTTAAAGTATACCATTTGATGAGTTTGGACACACATATGCATACACACACGACACCATCACCACAATCAAGGTAACAGACTTACC